TATAGAATCTGCCGGCGGCGGCGGAGCCTGTGTGCCGCTTCAATGACGTCCCAGCCTGCATGGCATCAGAGGGGCCCAGGGACCACTATAATTTTCTCACGGACCACCGGTTGGCGACAGTTGCCTTAAAGGACAGGGTTCTACCCTTTTGCAGTTAAAGGAGAATTTATGGGGTGAGTGAAAAATCCCCATAATTTAAGCCGACCTGTGACAGAGAACTGTCACAGGTTCACTCTATTGATCGGGAAGTCAGCGAACACACACCGCCGATCGCTGACTTCCCGCTCCTCTCCCTGCAGAAAGCAGTGACTGTCAGTCACCGCTCCCCGCAGGGATTCTCCCTCTCCGTTTCTCCAGCGCTGACTGGAGGAACATACGGGGAAGGGGGGCAGGCACAGTTTGCTCTACTTCTAGAGAGGCAGAGCCAAACGTCGCAGCCCGCAGGCTGGATCTCGACAGTATTTGTCGGGATTCGTCCTGGCTGTGGCTCTCTCAGCATATAGTGGGCAATAGCCCGCTATATACTGAGTTTTGGAACACTAGGGGACACATTATATGTCCTCCCGTGAGGAGAACTATGGGCAAAAAAGATTGCCCTTATAGTTCTACTTCAAAGCTCACTGGACTAGGTTTATCAGTACCTGTTGGGCCTTTAAGCAGCAGTCATCTGTTTTCTCAGGTTTGCATGCCACCACCTGGTCCTTGCTTTATATGTTTGTGAAGTTTTATCAGATGGCTTTTCAGGCCTTTGTTGAATTGGATTCCCTGGACCTTTTTAGTATGCTATGCTGTGGAAAAGAAATAGAACATTGGCATTACTAACAATGTTATACCAGCAGTTTAAAAATTGGTTTCAGCTGCTGTCTAACATTGGAAGACAGTGTATTGTGTATTAGGCAGACGCATGTTATACAGTATATGGCAAGATTTAGCTTCTCTGCTCTACACAATCTGATATTCTGTGGCAAGGATTTTTTTTTTTAAAGTAATTGGTCAAAAGTGCTACAACCACTTAGTCCAAAAGATGTCACTTGGGCAAGTCAGTGATGGGACTGTTTCAGTACTTCACAGAAAAGCACCCAAATTATATGTATTGTCTCTGATTTTAAAGATGTGTATATATTAAATTTAAATAGATGTGTAACTAGATCTTCTTTACCATCAACCTTTATTGTACATGTATCTGTATTTGCAGATGAATTATCCCAAAAGCTGAAACTTTTGGGAGAGCAGGAAAGAGCTGTTATGTTGGAACTCAAGAGGAAGGAGTGTGAGAAGAGAGGTCTTGAATTTGATGGCCAGATTAATGCCTGGGACATGAGGTACTTTATGAACCAGGTAGAGGAGACCACATATAGTGTGGACCAAAATCTTCTAAAAGAGTATTTTCCAATGGAAGTGGTGACTTCTGGCCTGCTGAATATTTATCAAGAGCTGCTAGGCCTGACCTTTGAGCTGGAGAAGGGTGCTCCTGTGTGGCATGAAGATGTTTCCTTGTTCTCTGTGAAAGATGCAGCAACTGGACAGTTTCTAGGAAAATTCTATCTTGACTTGTACCCTCGGTAAACTACTATGTTTCTTTACATCCTTCTGACTATTATTATGATTTGAATGTATGTATTTTCTGACCATATTCATGTATTTTGTAGTGAGGGAAAGTATTCACATGCAGCATGCTTTGGGCTGCAACCAGGATGTCTTTTACCTGATGGCACAAGACAGATATCAGTGGCTGCCATGGTTGCCAACTTCACCAAACCCACACAGGATGCTCCATCTCTTCTACAGCATGATGAAGTAGAGACATACTTCCATGAATTTGGTCATGTAATGCATCAGCTTTGCTCCCAGGTAGGTATCATTGGAATTCTTTTCTCTGATGTACATTGATTGTGCTGCTTTCTACTTTAACACTTAATGTGTGTCACAGGCAGATTTCGCAATGTTTAGTGGAACACATGTTGAGAGAGATTTTGTTGAAGCACCATCTCAAATGCTGGAAAATTGGGTGTGGGAGAGGCCATCTCTTCAGAGAATGTCAAAACATTACAAGACTGGCGTGCCTATTCCAGAAGAGACTTTGGAGAAGCTTATAAAATCTCGTCTTGCAAACACAGGTATGATGCCCTGATAAGTATCTACTCACTATTTTTGTAATTGCAAGTTGAAATTCACAGTCGTCAAATTTTACTTATAATGGGCATTTATGTAATTTTACTTGTCATGATTGCTGTTTTGATACAATTATTTTTCCCATGTCAATTTTTCATAGATAAGATACTTAAATCTGAACTCCATGCAGATATAGAAATCACAAATAAACACCGCTCTGTATTCATTATACATCAATAATTGTATATTTCAAATACAAGCATTGTAAGTATGGAATTTAAATGGGTATCAGGCACTTGCTGTCCCTGCACAACTGGAGTGTGAGAGTAAGAAGCAGGGATAATCTCTGACTTAAAGGTTAATATTGCAGCGGGAGCTGGTTTTGTTATTTTATCTTTGCTCTATTCATTCTTATCGTTATTTTATCATGCTGGCTTCCCGGCCAATTAGCATGGAGCCAGCCAAACAGCATGGAGCCGGCTTCACGGCCAATCAAGAAGCCGGGCGACGGGTAAAGACACGCTGCCACCTTCCTTCAGCTTATCATTCAGCCTTTTTTCCCTCTTTTCTGGTCAAAGCACACTCCACTAGATTAGTTAGTGCTTTACGGGTTTTTCAGTGCAAGGCATTTGTTTTTCAGATTGCAATGCTGCCACCTGGTTTTCTGTTCACACTTTTCGTTTTAAGTTTGTCTTTAGTAGGTGGATGTTCAGGCCTTGGCGGATATTGGCTTTGGTCATAAAGTGCTTCAGGCGGCACTATAAGCTCTCTTAAGCCCCTTCTATTAACATATTTTTTCTTTTCTCCTGTGCCTGTTAGCTCTTTGTTTGATGTGTCTCCCATCCTGTAGTTGGACTGATTTTGGACATCCCAATGTATCTAAATACTTTCCTGTGTCCCATAATGTATCATTAAACAAAATTGGGTGTTTGTCTTACCAGTAAAATCCTATTTTTGGAGTATATTATGGGAAACGGATATCTCTCCTCTGTCCTTCTCATCCACTCCTATTATGTTTGCTGCAAAACTGAGGCTTGCTGGGAATTATTATACTGGATTGTCCTTACAGCTCTTTTTTGCCAGTGTCCAATCTCTTGAAGGTGGCAGCATAACCCTAATGTTACAGAATACTCTCCTGTGTCCTAGCTTTAATAATATAATGGATATTCTTCCATTATCCTCTATGAACAACTTTTCCTGAACTCCTGCTAGTACTGGACCTTCTTGTGACACAAATCCAAACCTCCTCAGCTTCACAAAACTCCTTCAGTCTCCACACTGCTTCTGAGTGTCTTGCATGATCATCGTTCATCGGAGTTCCCATGGCAGGTTTGTTTCCTTGTCTATAGAAAAGTCCTGTTTCCAGCAATGTTGCCTTGTAGCCTCTCCTGACTCTCCTGCTATGCTCTGAAAAATTATTTTATTTAAAAAGGGGGGGGGGGGGGTGTCCCGCAAGTAATCCTTGACTGCAGAGGATTGTCCCTGATAGTAAGTTAATGGTTAATCTGAAAGGAGTTATGCAAGATAGCTGGCAAAGGTTTGGACAGAGGAGAGCTGTGAAAAACCTAGTTTTAATAGTGAATGATAATGTAATGAGGCCTAAGTGACACTGTTGTGCAAGAGATACAGTGAGGGTGGTAATAGAACTGAGTGCATCCTAATCCATGACAGATTATATTCAGTAACCTTCGTGTAATGTTTAGTGACAAACTATATACAGAGACATCTCCAAGCAGGGCGAGCAGATAAGCAGCAGAACACAGATAGTGAGGAGAGAGAACCTGTTGACAGTTTAGAGACTGGAGGAGAGTGCTGGCAGAGATGTGGGCATTGTTCAGAGGAGGGCTTTGAAAAATACATTGACAGTAGAAATGGGCCCTAAGTGACATGGATGGGCAAAGTAAAGAGCTACAGGCAGGTAGTGGTGATGGAACGGAGTACATCCTTAGTTCCTTGCGTAATAAATATATGGATATTACTGCACTTTTGTAAACAACTGAACATTGAGAATTATGTTCAACTAGAAGTCATCCATGCCACAAAATTGTGCTTCTAAACCAGCTTAGAATGCGGACAGCAAAAGGAGGTTATAAAATGAAAGTATGATCATTTAAAAGCACAGGGTAGCCAGACAAAGCATAAATGCACATTTCATCAGGCACATACGAAATGTACTAAAAATCAATTTGAGCACTTCTGATGCTGGCAAGTGTGCTGAATTATGAGCTGTAGTCGTCAGTAATGCCCAGCAGGTGGCGAAATCTCAATGCTGCTCCTAACCTCTTTGTGACCACAGTGCAACTTTAAAGTTAAAATATAAAATGTCCCTTGCTGTGAGAATGTTATTTAACCTTGCAGTAGAGAACTAGGAATGTGCAACTGTGTATGTCCCCAGTTCTCAGAACTGCTGTCATTCAGACAATTAGTCATAGGGGGCAATTTCTCAAAACTGGACTAGTTGCCCATGGCAACCACTAAGCTTCTCTCTTCGGTTTGTTCAGCTAAGGCCCCGTTCACACTGAGCGATTTATCGCGTGGTAATTCCCGCGATATCGCTGCTATTTACCGCGCTATATCGCTCTCCAATGCATGGCAATGGGGCTCTGTCCGTCGCTGTCGCGGGTCGTGCGTCGCTACAGCAGGACCCTTTTTGGAGCGGATTTTGCCGCGATTCTAGCTTGCTCAATGCAAGCATTTGCGCGACAAACGCGCAATATCTGAATCGCTCAGTGTGAATGGGGCCTTAGATTTAAAAATGAAAGCAGGAAGCTGTCTGCCTTGCACAGCTGCTCCAGATTTTGTCTGCTCTATAAGCTTCATTTATTTCATTGCCGCTTTAGAAAACAAGTTGGTATCAAAATGGTGAGAAATGTTTCGGTGGCTAGCCTGACCCCTTCATTAGACTGATGAGGGTTGGCTAATCTCTGAAATGTTCCTCATCACTTTGTTACAGAAATAAATGAGGCTTAGTCCTCCTCAATGGTAATAATAATGGTAAGTGGCTTTGGCATACAGTTTACACGATCCCTATCTTTATCAATTAAACAGTCTTCTGACCTGCAGCTAGATTGCTACACTTTTTGCAACTGGGTAACAAATGTAAAATAAACATATCTTGAGTGCTCAAAATATCATGGTTACAAGGGATTTAAAGGGCTTTTATGTGTACTTGTGTGTATTAATCTATTATCTTCTTGATGCTTGAAAGATATAAAAAGTTTGCGCGCACAGTGACTAATGGAAAGTATATTACCAATAACAGTAATTTATGTTTTCCACTATGCTCTTTAACCGCACACCCAAGAGAGATGCCAGAAAAATACCATAGGGGATTATCAGCCAAACTCCACCTCCTGATTTTGGTCCACATTTAGTCAGTATTGCTTCACTAAGGTATTGAAGCTTGTCTAAGTAGCCACTTTACAGATGTTGTTTACTGTTGCTGAAGCTGCCACGACGCAAGCAGCAGCGGCTGACCAGGTGGAATAAACTTTTAAAGGAAAACTATGGGGTTAGGGCTTTTCCCCATAGTTCTCCTTCGGGTAACGGGAGGACACAAACTAGCGCCCTCCCGTCACCCTAAGCTCAGTATACCGCGAGCTACAGAGTCAGCTGAGAGTGACGGCTGACTCTGCCTATCTAGAGGCAGAGCCAGCTGTACCCTACCCGGTCCGTTGCGCCAGTCAGCGCTGGAGGATCAGAGCGGGGAGGGGGGAATCCAGCCACTCCCCAGTCACGGCAGAGAGCTGTGACAGGATCGAGAAAGGAGCGAACGCCGGTAGGTGTTCGCTCACTTCCCGATCTACTGAGCCAACCTGTGACAGTCTCATTGTCACAGGTCGGCTAGAACTATGAGGTGAGTGAAAAACACTCACCTCATAGTTCTCCTTTAAGCACTTGGGAGGAGACCTATCAATGACCAGAAAACTTAATGTAGTAATGTAGCCTGTAACTATTGTAGCAGGCTTTTCTTGACATCCAATTTATAGAGACCATCCTCCTTATTTGATGGGCAGGAGGAGTAGAAAAAATTTAAGTTTATCTGGGTATGATGAAAATCAGAGGAAAACTTTAGCAATGTCTTACGACTGTAGAAGGCTGTCTCCCACTCTTCTGGCTAGGAAATGGCAAAGGGAAAGTGATGGGCGCATCTCATTTTCTAAGGACAGGTTTCCCGATGGTAACACCAGTTGACCATTTCAGCCTAATGTGTGTTTAAAATCGCTGCTTGTAGTCTGTCAGATGCTTGTGTGACATGCGTTTCCTATAACAAAGTGTCTAAACAATAACCTTCATGGCCGAATCATCAGGTGCTATTCAAATAATTGCAGATATAAAAATATTAAAACATGCATTTTTAAATGGCCTTAACTTTTTAATATGAAATTCTATTAATTGCGTTTCCACATACTTTTAACTAACATAGTGAGTTCAGGCATTTAGTATTATCCTGTTAAAATAAGAGGGAGTACACTTTCCAGCAGCCATGTCTTGAAATGCTGTTGCTTTGCTACTCTCTGGCCACTGTATGTATTTCACACATTAATGGAACACTGGTTCTTCTGCCACACACTGTGTTTTCCCAGTGGCAGAAGGAGCCATTGGGTGCTACAGAAAAAACAGGTATTCAACCTATCCAAACAGTCAAATACTTGTAGCGGGAAGGGAGCCGCAAAGTGGCCGCCAGAAATGTAAATATATTCCCTCCTTTTTTGCAAGTATGGTTTTAGCTATAAGTGACCCTGTGCTGACAGGGTCCCTTTACAGGAAGGTAGTATACCGCGAGCTGCTGCTCGTGGTATACTGAGACGCCGCAGCTAAAGCGGATCCCGACAATTGTGCCGGGATCCGCCCAGCTGCGTGACTGACAGCTGGCTCTGCCTATCTAGAGGCAGAGCCAGCTGTACCCGCCCCCTCCCCCGTCCAATCCACCAGTCAGCGCTAGCGGGGAGGGGGGAATCCAGCCCCTCCCCTGTCACGGCAGAGAGCTGTGACAGGATCGAGAGATGAGCGAACGCCGGTATGTGTTCACTCACCACCCGATCTACTGAGCCGAACTGTGACAGTCTCATTGTCACAGGTCGGCTAGAACTATGAGGTAAGTGAAAAGAACTCCTCATAGTTCTACTTTTTAACATTTTAATTTCTGTTTTACAGGTCTGCTGAACCTACGCCAGATAGTTCTGGCTAAGATTGACCAAGTGTTGCATACACAAAAGAATGTGGATCCAGTGGATGAGTATAGAAAGCTGTGCACTGAGATTCTTGGAGTTCCAGCAACACCAGGTAAGAGGCATTATAGGAAACTTTTATTTAAATGTTGCTGGGATAAATGCTAATGGTAGCAATGAAATACTAACATTTCCTAAAGAAAGTGCTGCTCCATCCAGTTTTGCTCGCATAACAGAAAGCTGAGGCTTTTGGTTTCATGAATTGGAGGATTAGCCATCTGAATTGTGATATTCCTTTTCATTATAAATCCTTTGACCAAATGCCCTAGGCTATAGTCACATGACCAACACTGGAAGGAACCTGGAACAGAATTTACCTTAGGGAAGGTAAACATTTTGGCCCTTCTATTCTTTTATTATTTAATTTGTATGGTTTATTGTCCCAATAGCACGTATTGTTAACCCTTAATTGGTGAAGTTTTATTAATCCCTAAAATGTTAAGGTTAAGGAACCTCACCACTTCAACTCATCTTGGAGAGGCATCCAGGTAATAAAGGTATTTTGACCTTTTTCATTTTTGAAAAAATGTTTTCCACATAAATATTTGTTTTATCTAAAATATATTCACCCATAGGCTTGAGGTGGACTAGAGCACTAAGGTAAGTAAAAGCACCAGAGGGTGGTTCTAAGGGTGTTATTTGGAATTTAAGTTTTGGACTCCTATTTACCTTAAAAGAAACGGGTTTAAAAAATGATGACAGCTGTCTGTTCGGACCTCTCCTGGAAAAACTACCGTAGTTACCCTGGCCTGGCTGTCTTGCAATGTGTTCAATATGGTGAGTCATGAATCCTGAACACGTATGTAGAGCAGGAGTTATTTAAATTTAATATGGTGCCTCTTAAGTTTGCAAATACGTAGTAGCGATACATAAGTATATTTTTCATTTATTTAAAAGTATTGCATATAAATAATATTTATTTTTTGATCAAGTAGATGGAGTTTCTTTTCACATTTTTGCAAGTCTTAACTGCTTTGCTGACAAAATCCTTTTTACAGAGCTCAGTAGCTTAAAGTGATATTAAACTCTCACAGCTGTTTTATAAAAGTAAATGCAAGTTGAGACTTACTGTAGTCTGTGTGTTCATTCTGTGCAGCCTTTTTTTTTTTTAATCTTCTTTTTTCTTAGTGCTGGCCGTGACATCAGACACATTCTCTTGCTGTGTCTGATGGAGTCTCCCTTCCTGCATTCAGAGGCACGGCAGATGCATAGGTACCCCGATGTGTGGAGGAACGCCTCCTCTTTCGATTGACAATGGCTCTGTGTAAGTGTCTATAGCATTTCAGATGTTTATTTTTCCAAAACCCCCCCCCCCCCCCCCCCCTTCTCTTCTTTTTTTTTTTAAATACATTTTTTTCCAAATTAACAATTTTACATTTTAATTGTTCACTTGCATTGCATTTTATCCACATGTGCAGCGATCAACATGTTACTTTTTTTTATGGATTTTTCACTGGATGTCGTAATGAAAGGGCATTTCAGTGCTGGACATCGTGATTTACTCTTTGTAGGATTGCGTAATAAGGGGTACCATTGTACCCTGTACTCATTACTATAGGCAGGAGGGCAGATATCTGGGGGCCCCCTTATTATAAACGGGACTTCCAGATTTTAATAAGTGCCGTCCCCCGCAGACCCCAACATTCTCTTGGGCACTGGATGTGGGAATGAGGCACTTGTCCTCATTAACATGGGGACAAGGTGCCTTGCCATGGGGGGCCCCAAATTCTGAGGGCATGTAGCCTGGAATGGTCTGGGGGGAGGGGATGTGTGCAGTATACTATATATACCATACTTGGTTAAAAGTACTGGTAATGCTTTTTTTATATATTTTTTTATTTTTCAAACAAACTTTATAATTGGCATAGATTGTGGAGCGATGTAATCGTAATGTTTCTTTGTGGGTCATGCATGCTACTGCGCAACGCGCTTTCCCCCAAATACATCTCCTGTCTGCAATGCACTCGACCGTGCCACACTGTGCAGTGTGTTGTGTTGCAGTTCAAAAAAGAAGCGCATGCAACTTTTTCTTTTTCAAAATTACCTACACCACAATGCAGGGTATTGTGTTCCTGCTCACATAGTTACATAGTATTTGAGGTTGAATAAAGAAATAAGTCTATCAAGTCCAACCTATTGCGTGTATGCATTTATGAGCTGGTGTGTGCATGTATATGTGTCCATGTGTGATTTTTCTCTTAGCAATACCTGTACCCCTGTATGTTATGGTCTCCAAGGAACTCGTCTAGGAGTCTCTTGACTGATTCCACACTCTTAGCTGAAATCACTTCCTGTGGCAGCGAGTTCAGGACCTTAACCGCTCTAACTGTGAAGAACCCCTTGCGCCCTGTGTGGTGAAATTTTTTTTTCCACCAATTTTTGGTGTGCCCTTTGGTCTTTATTACGGAGCTGACCGTAAACAGTTTGTTACTAAGGTTGCTGTCACCCTTGAATAGTTTATACATGAAAATCATGTCCCCCCTTAATCTCCTAACCTCCAATGAGAACATATTTAATTTTAACAACCTTGTTACATAGTTCAGATCCTCGAACCCCTTAATGAGTTTGGTTGCCTTCTTCTGGACTTTTTCCAGCTCAAGGACATCCTTTCTGAGTATTGGTGACCAAAACTGGACCGCATACTCCAGATGTGGCCGAATCAGTGATCTATAAAGTGACAAAATTATAGACTTGTCCCTGCAATACATTCCCTTCTTAATACAAGACAGGACTCTGCTAGATTTGTTTACAGCAGTCTGGCACTGCAAGCTATTCTTCAGTCTGCGGTCTATAATGACCCCCAAATCCTTCTCCGTTTCCGACTTCCCTAGTGGCACACCCATAAGTGTATAGTCCATTTGCCTATTTTTAACGCCAAGGTGCATTACCGTACATTTATCGACATTGAAGTGCACAGTTGAGTGCATTGCGGGCAGGAAGTGCATTGCGGGCAGGAGGTGCATTTGGGGTTCCATTCAAATAGCGTCCAGCAATGAAATCCACATCAATCACAACCTCCAGCGATGAAATCGGCTTCAATCACGATATCCAGCGAAGTAATCTGTGATCCACAGAGGCCATTAAAAAAAAACACATTGATCGGTGCACCTATGGGGGAAAAAAACTATGTAAGTAGACAATTGGCAAGAAAGTAACATTGTTCACTTACAAATACATTATTATTATTATTTTTTTTTTTAAAGTCTATTAAACAATAAACAATTAAAACGCTGTTTTAGAAGACCTATCCTTTTTGTAATGGTTGACTGTGCTATTTTTCTGTAAAGCAACCAGCCAACCAGAATTCAACATAACATGAGAGAAAAAGAAAAGATAGACTGGAGATTGCTCTATGTCTATGTACAAAATAAATAGATTAAAAAAAAGAGCTGGTCTAAAGAGACTGAGACACTTGCACAGAGCCACTGTCAATCAAAAGAGGAGGCGTTCCTCCAGACATCGAGCTGCCTGTCTCTGAATGCAGGGAGGGAGACTCCATCAGCCACAGCAAGAGAATGGAGTCAACTTCAGAACGTAAGTGCCGGCCAGCACTGAGAAGAAAGAAGATTTTAAAGAAACTGCTGCAGAGATTGAAGAGAGACACATAGACTACAGTAAGTCTCATATACCTGCATTCCCCGCTTCGGGGAAATATCAGAGGTCTAAACAGTCCCCTGACATTTCCTTTTTGAAATAGAAAAATACATTTAGGACTAAGAGTCCTCAGTCTTTTTTTCTGCAGCCTCAGCACTCAGTGAATGAAAAGCACCCAGTGAATGAAAAGCACTCAGTAAAGGGGCTTCCCATTCATTCTGAAATTAATGATGGTAAAATATTTACTATCACCAGTTTCTGAATGGGTAGAAGCCTCTTTAGTGAGTGTCTCTCCCCATTGAGAAACTCATGAAAGAACAGGAAGTGATGTAAAGCACTTCCTGTTCATAACTGGGGACACATAGTACTATGTGTCCCCAGTTGTTTACGAGCATTGGAGTGATCACCTGAAAACTGACAGGATGACAGCGTCTCTGCTCTCTCCTCCCCGTGGCTCTTCTCTCCTCCCGCTCTGCCATCCTAGATTGAAAGCGGCTCCCACCCCTGCCCTGCTGCAGGTGTCAATTTCTCCTAGGATTCCTGCTGTCTTAGCCCATACAGGCGGGGGAGAGCAGCGGGGATCCGAGGAGAAGCATGGAGTGGCTCCAGTTGGGGAAGAGATGACAGATGCCGGCAGTGGTGCTGGGGGGGGGGCACCTGGAATTTTCAGCCGCTGATGAGAGCTATTATTTTAAAGGGGACCATCAGGTGAACCCTTCTGGTATACGTTTATGGTCGCTAAAGTGACCATTAGCTTATAGCAGAAGGGTGAAAGCCACTGATGTATGGCAGACTGACGTGGCCAGCTGGAAACAGTTGTGTTCCGCCGTATGCCATACATCAGTGGCAGGGAAAGGGTTAAAGCAGACCTTTTACACTCTTATCAAATTCTACCAATGCATCGCTCTATGTATTATGATTAATAATAACAGACATGTCAGGTGTAAAATGCTGTAATTTTGAAATACTTACACTTGCAGATCATTCACTTCCTGCTTTGAAAGGGCAAATTACTTCAGTTTTTCAAAGCAATGCACACTGGGATTGCTTTGCCATCAGAGCATTGCTGGGAAATCTCATCTGATAAGGCATTTTCCTCCCCTGAGATGATGTGCATGGTCACATGTGCCAGATTTTCAGGAAGTAAATGGAGATCTAGTAACCTGCCCTTTATAAACATGGCCACTGTGAGAAGACTGGGGAAGTAAAGGGAAATCAGGTATGCAAAGAATACAAAGCCAGCAATTTATCTAGAAGTATGTTTTTGTAGATTGTCATTGCTAAACATTTCTAAAGGTGGCTTTGTTGTTATTTTAAAGATATGGGTAAAGGTCCGCTCTATATGTTTCAATCTTTTAATGCCTGTTGTCTACAGGATACAAGAAATAGTACTTGGAATAGGTGCCAAAACATGCAACTTGTTTCAGTAAAGGAAAGATGTTCTTACTATCGTTGCCATCATTTGAGCCTCCACTTTACCTGTGTGCGTGTGAAATGAGATGCTAGCTCTAAACATATAGCTTTTATGTATTATAATATCTGTATGTATAATTATTTTTTTTTTTTATTCATTAGGGACAAATATGCCTGCAACTTTTGGACATTTGGCTGGAGGATATGATGCCCAGTATTACGGCTACTTGTGGAGTGAGGTGTATTCTATGGACATGTTCCACGCACGGTTTAAACATGAAGGAATCATGAGCCAGAAGGTTATTTTTTTTTTATTCTTCAACTCCTCTCTGTTAGTATGTGTGTTCATTCTCCCAATGTAATGACAGACTCATGGCTTTTGTACAACACCAATATGGTGTTTGCAGCGGCAAAATTTCTTAACTTTAAATAAAAGGTTGTGTGCTGTGCAAAAAGTAAAAAAAATAATGAAAGTATATTCTTTGCAGCTGCAGCATGGGAAGGAAGTGTTTTAGGTCCCCCCAACTGAGTGCAGCGGGTGGACCTGTACACTTTACATTAGTGGCAATGAAGACTTGATCAGATTGGTTAACAATCCTTCGTTGAGGTTTATCTACTGAAAATAGGGCTGTCTTGTCACATCTACACGCTTGTACGCTCCCCCTTCCTAGACCCCAGGCTTACCTTGCAGTTCTGAGCCATGGACTAATGCAGGAGGTTAAGAGTGGGAGGAGATTGGCGATCCCCCTGCCCATGTTATCCTCAGCACAGAGTAAACGCGGAAGTGCTCAGCTCACACACATGCACATACATTCACATATGCACAGTTAGAACGCATACAGACAGACTCATTTGTTGGTACCCTTACAGTTCATTGGAAGAATGCTTCATGCCTTCTGAAAAGTATTGAAAGTAAAGAGATCCTTATCCACATGATGATCTCATCCAATTATTGATAAAATGTCCATTCATGGAGGCTTTTTTATATATTGAAGAATGTCGAAGGAAGGCTGTCGACAAGAACACCAATGGAGCCAGTTCATCAAGAACCAGTCGAGATTCGCTCAGTGTGTAGCCACCTTAAGGGAATTAATGTTGGGGGTATTGGATGGAATGGGAGAGCTCCCTGGAACTCCACTAAAATGCCAGGGACCATTCCTGTATAATAAATGCAGAAATCATATGTCATTAGGGGACGGTCAAAAGTTGCTGGTGTGTGACCCATGGTCCCAAATCATCTTAAATTTGGGCATTGTATCTAAGTTTTAGATAGGAAAAAGTTTGACAGCCAGACTTTCGCATGAATTTGTTTTGTGGCCATTAAGACTTGTCTCTAGAGTTTAAATTGGTATTTTGGCAGGCCCTTTGTTTTCAGATAGAGGAGTGCATCCTGCATTGTACAAAGCATTTTTTAACCTGCCTCCATAGATCTTGTACTAAAACTATAAAGATAAAAAAATTATTCTTCTTTCATTGATGTGAAGGGAATGGCCTAAGACTTATAGGCATTTATATACATACAGACCTGGCCAGATTTCATGGTACCATTTGCATGAAAAAAAAACTCACCATTTTCTGAAATAACTTGAAACTGACAAAAGTAATTGGCATCCATCATTTTTTTTTTTATTCAGTGTTTAATGCAATGAAGGCCTTGCTTTTAAACAATTCTAGGGGGTGCAAAAATCTGCCCAGGCCATCTTTATAGAATAAGCAATAAATATCATCTTTCACATAGTCTTCACTTTACTCTATGACATACCAAAGGCCTGTAGGTATACATGAGACAATAGCTTTTTGGCTTGGTGAGTGCAGCACCATTCACCTTGTGATAGTAAAAGTTACAATATGGACAACTTCTGCTATTCTTTAACCTTTTCATACTTCACCATTTGAATCCCAAGTGCCATTATATTACAGCACTGAGATTACACTTGTTAGTCCCAGTGCCATTTTTTTTTTAAATGGCACCTGATCTCTGTTTGTTTAGTCAGCTCCTGAGCTATTGATCTTGCTACAGAGCGCCCAGAAAGAGCTGTGACAAGCAACAGATCAGGGATTTTCCCTGATGTGATCAAGACCCACCACAAAAAAGAAAGTATAAATACATAAAAGCATGGTAGACGTTTGGATATACAGTGCATTCAGAAAGTATTCAGAGCACCTTCACTTTTTTCAATTTTGTTATGTTGCAGCCTGATACTACAGTTGTTTAAATTCTTTTTTTTTCCTTTCTAATTAATCTACACTCCGTACTCCATAATGACAAAGTGAAAACAAAATTTTAGAAATGTCTTAAATTTATTTTTTTTAAAAACGAAATATCACATGTACTTAAGTATTCAGACTCTTTACTCAGCACTTTGTTGGCAATTACAGCCTCAAGTCTATTTGGGTCTGATGGGACAAGCTTTGCACACCTGCATTAGGGAATTTTCTGCCATTCTTCTTTGCAAATCCTCACAAGGTCAGCCAGGTCGGATGGGGACCGTCGGTGGACAGCCATTTTCAAGTCTCTCCAGAGATTTTTAGTAGGGTTCGAGTCTGGCTGGGCCACTCCTAGGACATCCACAGAGTTGTCCATAAGCCACTGCTGTGTTGTCTTGGCTGTGTGCTTAGGATTGTTGTCATGTTGGAAGGTGAACCTTCAGCCCAGCCTGAGGTCCTGAGCACTTTGGAACAGGTTTCCATTAAGTATATCTCTGTACTTTTTGCTCCATTCAGCTTTCCCTCAACCCTGATCAGTTTCCCAGTCCCTGCTGCTGAAAAACACCCCATAGCATGATGCTGCCACCATCATGCTTCACTGTTGGGATGGTATTGGGCAGGTGGTGAGCGGTGCCTGGTTTCCTCCAGACATAACATTTACAATTGAGGCCAAACTGTTCAATCTTGTTTTCATCAGACCAGAGAATCTTGTTCCTCAAAGTTTGAGAGTCCTTCAGGTGCTTTTTTGCAAACTCCAAGCATGCTTTCATGTGTTTTGCACTGAGGAGAGGCTTCCGTCTAGCCACTCTGCCAGAAAGGCTAGATTGGCGGAGGGCTACAGTGATGGTTGTCGCTCTGGAACTTTGTCCCACACAGGATCTCTGGAGCTCAGTCAGAATGACCATCGGGTTCTTGGTCATCTATCTTACTAAGGCCCTTTCCCCCCCGATTGCTCAGTTTGGCCGGGCCACTAGCTCTTGGAAGAGCCTTGGTTGTGTCAAACTTCTTCCATTTGAGAATTATGGAGGCCACTGTGCTCTTGGGAACCTCTAGTGAGCATTTTTTAAATGTATTTATTTAGCCTTCCCCAGATCTGTGCCTTGCTATAATCATGTCTCTGAGCTCTGCAAGCAATTCTCTCTGACCTCATGGCATTTGCTTTGATACAGTATGCATTGTCAGCTGTGAGGCCTTCTATAGAGAGGTGAGTGCCTTTCCTAATCATGTCCAATCAATTTAATTTACCACAGGTGGACTCCAAACAAGGTGTAGAAACATCTCCGCAATGATCAAGAGAAATGGGAGTCACTTGAGCTAAATTTCAAGTGTTGTTGCAAAGGGTCTAAATACTTATGCCAATGTGATATTTGTTTTTCCTTTTTCATACATTGCAAATATTTCTAAAATTCTTTTTTCCTTATGGGGTACTGACTGTAGATGAGAGAAAAAAAGAATGTAAACAACTGTAGTATCAGGCAGCAACATAACAAAATTGAAAAAAAGTGAAGGTGCTCCGAATACTTTCTGAATGCACTGTATGTTGTACTTCTAAAAGTTGGACACTGGTAAAAGGCAAAGCTGCTCCTAGTGCCTATGTTTCTTTCACATACTCATTAAACTAGCAAGCTGGATCAAGACGCTGAAGATTTCGTCTCTTTCCTTCATGATCATTGAGCAACAGCAGCTGGCAGTGTCATAACAGACCCCGAGATCCTGGAGCTTTACCCCAGCATCCAACATATAGTTTCATACAGGAGCCCCAAATCCTGAGGTTTACTGCAGCAGCTGCTGTTCCTTAGTGTCACACCAGACCATTTGATTTGGGAATTCACTGAAGCTTGTATTGCCTTACAAATGATTAGTAAACAATATTCTATCTAACCTAACCTTCTATAGGGACTGGAGGAGCTCTTATCTAAACCCATACCTTTTATATATCTACATACAGTAACGCCACTTGTTCACCACTTCCAATGCCATTTTCCCTGCTTGGTAACCTTTTGTTCCTCTCTAGGCAGGATGGAGTCTTTCATTACTTTGTTTCTTTGGGAGCCCCTTTTGTGGTGCACCTGTAACGCGAAGTAGACGAAGTCCGCACCAGAAAACTCTCCGTGGTGGGGAAATAATCCTTCAAACTGCATCCATGTATTATTTTTCTTCGTTTTGTGCACAAAAATGAGGGGAGCTGCACCTACAATTTGGTCTGAGCACAGCCCCCAAATGCATCTGCGCCTGGTCCTGTTAGCCTTCAGAACCAGGGCATCTCTGCGGCTGCTGATCCCAACAGTCTCTTCATTAAAGCGCAGTCAGCTCGGGACTTGCAGCTTAAAGGAAAACTATGGGGTTAGGGCTTTTCCCCATAGTTCTCCTTAGGGTAACGGGAGGACACAAACTAGCGTCCTCCCATCACCCTAAGCTCAGTATACCGCCAGCTACAGCTCGCGGTATACTGAGATGCCGCAGCTGAAGCGGATCCCGACAATTATGTCTGGATCCGCCCAGCTGTGTGAGTAACAGCTGGCTCTGCCTTTCTAGAGGGGGGAATCCAGCCACTCCCCTGTCACGGCAGAGAGCTGTGACAGGATCGAGAAGTGAGCGAACGCCGGTATGTGTTCGCTCACTTCCCGATCTACTGAGCCGACCTGTGACAGTCTCATTGTCACAGGTCGGCTAGAACTATGAAAGAACTATGTGAAAAGCACTCGCCTCATAGTTCTCCTTTTTAATGTACAGATTGACCAGCAAATCAAACCAGGGGAATGGGTTCTATATTAGCATATGTTCATATTTCTCATCAGTGGGGACCCCCATACTTGGATCTTATCAAGGGATTCTCTAGCACAAGGGCGCCCACAATTTTTCGTCTGGACATCTACTTTTCAAATGACAAGCTCAATGAGATCTACCAACGAAAAAACACCTGCATTCAGGGGCGGGAGGGTCTGTGGCAGTGCATTGAAGTCAACCGGCCCTCTCTGTTTCTATCTGCTGTCTCTTTTCTCACTTTCTCTGCTGTCTCTCTCCTGTCTGTCTTTTCTTACCTCCACTGCAGCAGCTTCCAAAGTCTCCTCTCCTTCCCGTCTGCGGCGTC